AAAAAAAAAAAAAAACATTAAAAATGTTCAACCTTATTGGTCAGTCAAAACATGCAAATTAAGTTACTGTGGACTTTGCTCTCACCACCCCGCTGCTATCCCCACCACTGTCACCACCTTTCTCTGTCTCAGCTGAGGCAGCCTTCTTGCTCTTATGCTGGTGTTGAAGGACCCTCCTGCCTTCAGATTTACTAACAGCATGAATCCAGAAAAGTTAGCCCCACTTCAGGTTCAAATCCAGATAGGGGGCAAAGGTTCAACTCACAGAAAGAAAGTGGTACATAGAACAGCTACAGCTGATAGCAATAGGCTTCAGAATTCTCAGAAAGAACTGCCAGAGAATAATATAGGTGGTATTGAAGAGGGGAACATGATTAAGATGATGGGACAATAATTCATTTCTGTGTTTGTTTGTTTGTTTGGTGGTGCTGGGGACCGAACCCAAGGCCTTGTGCATGCAAGGCAAGAGCTCTACCTCTGAGCCATAATAATTTTGTGTGTGTGTGTGGTACCAGGGACCAAACTCAGGATTTTGTGCTTGCCAGGCAAGCACATATTCCACTGAGCTATCTCCCCAGCCCCCTAATAATTAATTTCAATGGTCCCAACATCCAAGCTTCTGTGTCTGCTAACACCTTTGCAATTACTGGTCATGCAGCAGCCAAGCCAATCACAGAAATGCTTCCTGGAGTATTAAGTCAGCGTGGTGCTGACAGCTTACCAAGCCTTAGGAAATGAACTGAACAGTTCCCATGGCAAGTGTTGGATAACAAAGCACCAAAACCAGAAGATGTTGATGAAGATGATTGTTTCCAGATCCTGTAGAAAAGTTTGATGAAGCATCCAAAAAATGAAGCTAACTAAAATCTTTTCTGCTTTTTGGAAGCTGGTGTGGACTAGATTTAACAAATCATCTATCTGGTTCCAAAGTTTTGTCCACACAGAGAACATCATCTATTACTAGCTCAGTAATACAGCATTTTGTATATTATTAATGCGGTTGTTCAGCAGTTCTCAGTCATTTGATTTTTTTTTAGTGTATTTAATACAGGGTCTATAGGGTCTTATGACACAGCTCAGACTCATAGTGATCATCCTGTTTTCAGCCTGCCGAGCCCTGGGATTACAGGTGTGTACCCCTATGCTGTCTCAGCGCACCCTGGGGGCAGGGCCAGCCCAGCACCCCGAGATGAATCCCTGGCCCCTGCCTCTGCCTAAGCAGGTGCTTTAATCCACAGAACTATTTGGCCAGCCCTAATTTTTATTTTTTAAAGAGAGTACAAAATAGTATCAAAACAAAAAATTATAAATGATACAGAATTTCACCAAACAAAAATTATGAATTTGACAATTTTTTTTGGTATTGCATAGTGTTGTCCTCAAATTAGTTGTTCAGGTTACCAGAAAATGCATGCTAAATTGGAAGAAGGAAGAAAAAAAGAGACAAAATGTTATAAGAAATTTAGGGGCCAGGGAGATGGCTCAGTAGAATAAGCGCTTGCCTGGCAAGCGCAAGGGCCTGAGTTCAATCCCCAGTTCTGCCAAAGAAAGAAAAGAAAAAGAAATTCAGAAGAGGGAAAAAGGACTAAATTGAAGATAGATCAAAAAACAATTAAGCATTAACTGCGCCTTTCCACAGACCAGTAGAAATCCACAATACAATTCTCCAAACCATCCTGCTCATATACATAGATATACCCTTTTCCCCATTCCCTCACCTGTCCTTCTCATCTTAGTAATTACTTCTTTTTGAACAGATTCATTCCCCTTTCATAGTATCTATTCTACCTTTCAGATTTTATGTACTCTCTCAGATTCTTACACTAAAGAGACAATATAATGTTTGTACATGCAAATACGATTTATTTTGCTTAAGTGTGTGGGCTCTACTTGCACACACTTACCAATAAAAGCCTCAAAGGTATTCTTTTTATAACTACATAATTCTATATTGTATAAAAATATCACAGATTTTTTTATCCATTGTTCAGCTGATGGGCATTTGGGTTGTTTCCAAGATTTAGTTATGACACACTATGCAGCTGTAAGCAAGGATGCACATTTATCACTGTGGTATGATGTGTTCAGTTCTTCTGGAAAAATATACAGGAGGAGAATAGCTGGGTTGAATGGGACCTCCAAGCTTTTTGAGCAATCTCCACACTGATTTCCATAGTGTTCGTACCAGTCTGCACTCCCACCAGCGGTGCAGAAGCATTCCTTTTCCCCATGGCCCCTCCAGCATTGGTTATTGATTGAATCCTTGATGTTAGAACTTCTTTCTGGGGCTGGCGAGATGGCTCAGTGGTCTAAAGCACCTACTTAGAACAAGCTTAGCAAAGCACACGGACCGCGGTTCAATCCCCCAGCACCACATGCCAGCCAGCCCCGCCCCCTGGTGGGCTGAGCTGGACACACACACACATAAATTTAAAAAAAAAAAAAGAAATTCTTTCTGGGGTGAGATGGAATCTCAATGTTGTTTTAATTTTCATTTCTCAAGTGATCAATGATGCTGAATATTTTTTCATATATTTATTTGCCATTTGTACTTCTTCATCTGAGAAGTGTGTCATCTCAGATGTCCATTTTTTGATTGGCTTTTTGAATTTTGAGGGTCTAACTTTTAAAACTTCTTTGTATGTCCTAGACAGAAGTCCTTTTTCCCTGTTCATGGATTTTCTTTTTACACTGTTGGTGATTCTTTTTGCTATGCAGAAACTTTTCAAAAAAATGAGATTCCAGTCACTATTTTTTTTCAATTCTTACAACATTTGATGATTTAAAGCTTTGTGAAGTGACATCTCAGTTAATTGTCCTGTCAGTGGCAGGTGCCTGAGCCAGAGCACACGATCAACACCTGATCTCCAACTCCCTCATTTTGTTTTTGTGGGGGTTTTTTTTAATGTATTTAGGACATGGTCTACAGGGTCTCACTATATAGATCGGACTCATAGTGATTCTCCTGTTCTCAGCTTCCCCAGTGCTGGAATTACAGGCACGCGCCACATGCTCAGTCTCAGTTGCCGGCTCAGCACGCCCTGGGGCGGGGCAGGCATGGCACACGGGGGATTGAACCCCTGCCGCTGCGTTCTGCCTAAGCAGGCACTTTAGTCTGCTGAACTATCTGGCTGGCCCTGAGATCCCAGTTATTGATTCTTTGAAATATTTCCATGCAAGTTGGTATTTTGTTCATGAACTTTTTACCTATGCCTATGTCTTTAAGATGTCTATCTATTTTTTCTTCCAGGAGATTTAGTGTTTCAGATTTGATATTTAAATTTTTGAACCATTTTGACAGTAGTTTGGTGCATGGTGATAGACTTGGGTCTAGTTTTAGCCTTGGGCATGTTGAAAGCCAGTGATTTTAGCATCATTTACTAAAGAGGCTAGTTTCTTCCACTGATCATGTTTGGCCCCTGTGTCAAGAAAGTGCTAGTAGCTTAGTGGACTAAAGCGACTGCTTAGGCAGAACTCAGTGGTTGGGGTTCAATCCCCAGCGTGCCATGCTGGCCCCACTCCTGGGGCACACTGAGATGGTGACTGAGACTGGGCATGGTGGTGCACACCTGTAATCCCAGTGTGTGGGAGACTGAAAACAGGAGAATCACTATGAGTCCAATCTACGTAGTGCGACACTGAAGACCCTGTACTAAATACATTTTTAAAAAACTATAAGAAAGGTACTGAGTATGTTTGCAGTTGTGTCTACATCTTCTAATCTGTTCTACTGATCTTCAGGTCTGCCCCTATACCAGTACCATGCTGATTTTATCACAGTAGCTTTGTAATATAATTTCTAGTCAGAGATTGTGATGTCTACACCTTTTCCTTTGTTGC